CGGTTTAATGAACCGGTACTCTCAGGGCCTCATTTTCCCTCCCACCCCGAGTTCGCGCCACATGCTTAGCGGTCTGGTATGTATGTGATAACGGTGCTGTAAACGATTTGTGGACCACGGCTTACTTATTACTTATTTGAGTAAATGTAATGTGGGATTGCTTATGAAATAATGTGAGATATTTATTTAAATATGAAAGCAGGGTAGTAGTGGGCGACCTAACCTCTGCTTAAAGTGGTCTTTTTCATCCATCATTGCTCCAATGTTGAGAACTCTATTTTAAAGCAATACGGCCTTTCGATGGAAGACGCACCCACATAGTGAAGGCATGGAAGTTACTTGCAAAAAAAAAGGAAAAAATAGAAGCGTTACAGTTCACGCAGGGAAAGGATACTGCACTAAAAAAGAAAATATTCTTAGGCAGCACAGGTACGCATTGCACCAAAAGAGTCGTAAGAGTATGATTTTGACCAATGCCGGTGCCACTGATAGAAAATGGCAACGTGGCCCTTGGTCACTGCTGGATATCTACAAGCCTATAGGAAACCTATGCATTCACACTCCACAGAAACGCTTGATAGAACCGAAAAGGATGCCAAACCGTTGTCAGTAAAGCAAGGAGCCTTATCAAGGAATAAGAAAGGAAGGATGACAAAGCACATTCTACCAGATAATCGCACGGTAAAATGCTTTATCTGCTGTTCTAAAATATCATCGTAGATCGATGGGATGGGGTGGCTGAAAGCGGAGATTTATGGACGAATGTTTTTGCAACGAAAAAGTGCGATGAAGCATGTGGTGTATTGGGACTTTCTTGTATCACTCAGATAGGGTGTTTCCGATGGGACCAAAGCAAGCGAGTCGATGCACAGACGTGTAAGCACATTACAAATGAATGTGGCATTAAACACGGTCGTACAGTAGGTCTACTAAAAAAGTCCCCCGCTCCAGAGGCGGCCGGCCGGCCGAACCCCCGGATTCCAGCCCCGACTCTATTGCGCAGGCCGCGGCAGTGACACGGGTCAGGTCGCGGCGCCCGGCGAGTGGGTCAGTTGGCGGCGGCCGGCCGTGGAGTGAGGACGCCGCGTGTGGGGCGCAGCGATGCCGCAGTGCAGAGGAGGGGAAGATAGTGACTGCACGATGCCGGAAATGATGCCTTTGTGATCTAAATTAAACACCTGCACTGCAGTGCATATCCTCACTTGCCCCATTCCTATTATGTATATCATAATCCTTCAATAATCCGTAATGACCATTCAACGCAAGCAAGCAAACAAAACAACCCGTTGAGCGGCGACATCATCTTGGATAAAAAAGCGACAGTGATGATTAGAATTGACTTAGCGCGAGGGCATATCGAGGGGTATATATGTATCATATGCCGAGTATTTTATTCCCATCTAGCAAATTAGGATTGGGGATCTTGTCCAACAAGTCAGCGGCCGTTCTAGACACAGATAAATATTTTGTTTTCGGTCGCATCATTATCTGCAATAATTCGAAGCGATGTTTAACCCTCGCCGGCCGAGAAAAAGGGGTGGATGCCGCCACCTTGTATTTTTTTTTTTTGTGGTAGCTCAAAGCACACTGATGATAGAAGGCTGACATTTCATATGCCTTACATTTGATTTAAGCCGGATCATTTGAAATCAACCACGTTTTCATGTCAGGTCACTTAACTATGACGTCTTAAGTAAACCTCTGCAGACTGCACGGTTGTCGGTTATAAAATGATGCAAATCCGTAATGCACTTAGTCTCATATAAGCATAATGGGAAAATATGGAATCTGTTAATTTGGCGTCGGAAATGACCTAAAACTATACCTCAAGCACATGAAATCGTGACTTCATACATTCTTGGCAAGGTTTACTGCTTCACTTTTGCATTGTTCACCTTGCGTGACGGAGTGCTCGTCAATAGGAGTGCTTCGTCAATAACTCCCGATCAAAATGAGCTAGCCAGTCGGGACAGCCATCAATGGACTCTGCAAGACTTGCCGAATCAAATGTTATGCAACATGTCCTCCTTTCAACAGCTTCGTGACCTGTGTTGCCCTAACATGACATTGACCTAAACATCCTAAATTGCTTCACCTAAGCAAAAAAGCATATAAATCGACGCGTCTGAGAATAGAAAACACGATTGTATCAAAATGACGATAATGCGACCATTTTTTGCGAAGTTTTCCACCCAAAACCGATCCAATGCCGTGGGGCCCTTGACCTGCCCTAAGAGGTCACTGATATTTTAAAATGGGGTAACAGTCGCTGCGTCACGTAACGACGCAAACGCTCGTTTTTTTCCGCGAGGCTCTAGCAGTTAGCTCAATTATAGGAGCTAAACATGGGGTTGGGGAATCGCTCCCTTCTCACTCACTATTTGGCCGGGATAGTGTTCGCAATTATTGTTAAAATCTTAACATTTTAAGATTTCAAATGACCCATTTGTTTCCGCCCAAGTCTTTCAATTGAAGGTCATAACACCAGGTCATGTCAAGTGACCTTACCTCAAGGAAAGTTCCTGCGCTCATCATATCTAAATGCATCGACTAACCGATCGCTTTAGAACCTTCAGCGATTTCAATGGGCAACAGTACTACTGTTTTTTTTTCAATTACATTCAATTCAATTACAATTTTTCAAATACATATGATATGTATTTGAAACGTTTACTTTGCAAGTTTGACATTGCTGACAGAAAGGTCGAGTCACTTTTGAGATCGCTAAAGTCAATGGGAGAAAGTTGAACTGCGCTTTTTTTGGACGGAAGGCATAATAAACACTCTGAAGTCTGAAAACATGTTGTGCCTGATGAGATACAATACTGAATGAGAAAATTGTTTGTTTTGTTGGGAGCCATCTTTTTCGGTCTGAGAAGGCCCTTGCAGAGCTATGACATAACTATGCTCTGGTGTAGAAATTTGGTTGTGCGAGCCAGCGACAGTGATCTGCGGAAGCGTGACTGTTCCCGTGGGACGATTGCCCTGTCGGGGCGTTCCAGTCGTCTTCCCAACGGTCACCCGAAGAGGATTATGTGTCCTGGAATGGAACCGACATCAACTACAGGTTGGCTGGTGGGGTGACCTCCAGTCCAGAGAGGGAAGCATGAAGACTAGGGGCGATGCGGATTGGTTTTTCCTGAGGATAGCGGGGACGGAAGGAATCTAGCACCCTTGACCCTTTCTTATACTTAATGTATCTCAGGCTGTTAAATCTCCTAAGCGTTTTTTTTTTTCTCGACATCGTCAAGGTGTCATTAATAAAAATATGAAATCCGGGAGGATAAATTAAATATAGAAATTGTGGCCAACAGAACATTATCAGTTGCGTTCAACATACTCGCAAGCATGATCACACACCCAGCTTACACGTGAGCCATGTAATAAATATTTTTGATAGACATGCTTAAGTTATGAAATCATCTAAAGTGTTTGTTAAGTTCCACGATACGGATCTAATATCCTGCTATGCATCATGACCATTTCTGGTCAGGTCATGTCTTTGAACATCGCGTCGGCCAAATTCTTCAAATGGCCTTTAAAGATCAACTTTTGATTCATTCGAAGTGTTTTGATAAGAGGAACACGACGCTGGTAAAATTAATTTCATGCAAGTTTAGCTTAAAACTTTTAGTGTTTGTGGAAAAGCAATTGGTTTTCTCATAAAACCGATGATGGCAGTTGCTGTTATTTACGTGCTTAGCCGTTGACCTTAATTAAATCTGACAATATTATTCAGACATAGCGGTAAACGAGCTGCTTGTTGTGTTAGGTTAGGCTCTTTCGGTCAATTTCAGAGTGGTAAGGATGACAGGAATTAGGGGGAGACAGGGGGCCTGGGCGGGAGTCCTGGGCCTCATGCTCCGCTGGGGCCGAGCCCATCAAGTGGGTGGGATTGCCCTGACACATGGATAGCCGTGGGCGGTGTTTCACGGCCCCGCGCTGCAGCACGCTGCGCTGCGCTGCCATGCATTGTTGCGGCGGTTGATATGAATTCGGCTCCACACTAGCGTTACGAGCTTCCGAGTCTGTTGATGCATCCATGGAAATTGGAAACCCAATGCACCGGTGCGCGCAACGCACCCTGTCCAAGCAAAATTTTATCATCGATGACCTCTGGTGACATGATCTTTTGCTCTGACCCGATCTAAAATTGGCTGAAGTATCTTTTCTTCTTTTTGCTACTTTTGACGCTACTTCGAATACCACTTAAATGCCCAAAGCTGAGTTATAAGAATGATGCTCAATCCCCATTTCCACTCCAACAGGGCTTGAGAGTCTAGGCATTCCTGTGGGGCACGGGCTAACAATGACTATCTCATAATCATTGTGACCATGAACATCTACTGCCATTCATTAACACCGGTTTCGCTGCGCTGAGCGGTGGCCGTCCCGTTTGTTGGATTCTACAGCTGGCTGGCGGAAAGCGTTACCGGCCGCCCGTCCACCGCCCGCGGGCCGGACCGAGCGCGGCGGTCCTGCTGACCCTACCTGACCTGAGCCCGGCGCGATATGGGACGGGCAGACGGGGGTTCGGCTCAGCGAAGGCAGCGCCCACTGGTGCTGGGGACTTTTTTAATAGACCTACTGTACATCCGTTTGTAGTGCACATTCACTGAGCTCGTGTATCTTGGAAAAAAAATCTGTCGCATGAGCGGGCCGTTTGCAGATCTGCTACTCACAAAGTGTTACTACCTGAGGTCCCGCTACCAACGTGACGGCAGACCGTTGGTTTTGACCCCTCCTTTACGCTATTCAGCAGTCTATGTAACTGTCCTGAAGGGTTCTCACGCAACCGTCAGGCACTCAACTAATGCTGACAAGCATATTAGCGGCACGTCTTCCTCAGATCCTGGGCGAGCCGGCGGCGCTTCAGGAAATTAGCGCGACATACGCCGGCCATTTATTTGTATGTGGACTTTTTTAATGGTTCACATTTCCTTCCCATCAGTCACCCTTTATAAGGACGGAGTAGCGGTTCTGGAACGGAGCAGTGAGCCCCCAGTTTCCAACGATGGAGCAGCTGGTAAGTGCAGTCCGGAGAACTACATGCATCGAATATTGACCGGTCAAATAACCTGGAATACCTATTATCAGCTTGAAATGCAAAATGTTTTACTCAATGACTGATTATGTATGTTTGCATGGTTTTGTGTATTATGTGTTTTTGAGTATATTTTCCATTGTATTTTTGCATGTTTTTGTGGTTTGTATCTTTAATGTATTCTGCATTTACATTTATGTGTGTTTGTCAGAATATTAAGTTTATTTGCTCTGTGTTCCAGGTTCTGCTCACCATCGCCCTGGCGGCAATCAGTGGCGCCCGGGCGTTCTACATTGATCCCTTTGCCGGGTTCGGATATAGCGGCCTCGGATTTGGCAGCCTCGGATATGGCAGCCTCGGGTAAGTTGGTTGGGTCGAAGCCTGTTATTATCTTATACGATTATTATTGCAAAATGAAGGTGTTTCATGAATCTATTCAAAACTGTTAACCGCATGAATTGCCACGCCATGCTGAGGGGAGGTGTTTTCTGGGGCCACTTGGCTAAACGCGCGGTAGACAGCTTTCGAAAGAGCGTCAAAATCATGAAGAAACTATCTGAATCATTTTTAGGGCAAATTAAAGGTCAGGTCACCAGAGGTCATCAAATGTTAACCTTTGCCTATCTCAACATTTTTTTTTTTTTGACAATGCGACTCATAACCTTGAAATGAGAAGAGCTATGGCACTGTGGAAAAGCGTATTCGATAGCTCTTTTTGGGTTATTTTTGACTAATGTCCTGGGATTTGACCTCATATCATCAGTTAGCTAAAGACGGAAAAAATGATCAAAATTGACACATTCGGGGGAAATGCTATATTCTGCAATGACGCAAAACTTGTTTGAAGCTCATTTAGTTCACTGTCATCGCATTTCTCTCGTCAAGACGCGTCCAATGAACCATTATCTAACCTTTGCCTTAGCATGTCTATAGCAAAAGTTACCGTCGCAAATTGCTGAAATCTCAAGTCCTTGTTGGGTGCGGTTCTAATCGCATGGTTTGATCCGGTTCTACCACAAGGAAAAAATATTCACACGACAGGGCCTATGATAGAAACAGGACAGAGATTCTTCTTCTGTTCTTTTGATCTTTGGAGACCTTTTGTTATCTCTTTGGCGGATCTAGAAAGGCGGCATTGGACTCTGGAGCGGACATACCGTAGGTACACCCCAATAGTTATTTCAAAATTCAATAAAAATCAAATTCCTCTTCTTGATGTGCTGCGGTACAATGCAAAAAAAAAAAATCGAAAAATAAAGCTTTCCCAATATGCTAAGGTGGTGGGAAATGATGAGAAAAATGATAAGTAAGATTCAGACAATGCTGGGAAAGAGGTAGAGAACCCTGATTCCCCGGTTTTGCTAGCGTTTGGTCCGTCCGTATGTTTCGAGTCCTGCCAAAAAGTTACAGATTAAAGCTACTGAAATGATCAGCATGGTAGCTAAGATAAAGGTGAACCCTTCTTGAATATTAAAAAAAAAACTGAAATTACGTGAATCGTTACACGGGCCTCCCAAAAGGAACTTGAAGAGAATACGAAATGTGAAAATACCTAACGTTGATCGGATTTGGGCATAAATACCTACACGTGTTTTATATGAAACACCTCGTGGCTAATGAAACACCTCGTGGCTAACGAACAACTGGCCACTGTTCAAGCCTCTGATTATTGCTGATTATTCTTATCCTATTGATTCATAGAATAAGCACGGACCATGCTTCCGACCGTGCTTCCGTGTGTGCGGCTAGACTATCTACCCTGCAATTTCAAAATCGCTAGGAAATGTCTCAGTGATAAATCCTGCATTCTTGCTAACGCGTGTGTTCTCTCTCTCTTTCCTTTCCAGTTTTGGGCACAGCGTGGTTTCATCACCAGTAGTGCAGCCAATCGTGGTCAAGCCACCGGAGCCGCCCCCAGAGCCGCCCCCAGAACCCAAGGTGGAGGTGCACGTGCACAAGGGCGCCCCTCACCACGAGCCGCCGCCCCCTGAGCCGCACCCACACCCGCCTCCCCCGATCATCCTGATCGCGGGCGGCGGCGGCGGCGGCGGCGGCGGGCACGGACCGCCTCCCCCTCCGCCTCCGGGCCCGCCCATTGTTGTGCTGCCCGTGGGCGGCGGCGGCGGCGGTGGCCATGGCGGCGGCGGCCACGGCGGTGGCGGCGGCGGCCACGGCGGCGGCGGACCGCCCCCGATCATCGTTCCCATCGTGGGCGGAGGCGGCGGCGGCGGACCTCCCCACGGCGGCGGCCACGGCGGCGGCGGCCACGGTGGCGGCGGAGGACCGCCCATCATCCTTCCCATCGTTGGCGGCGGCGGCCACGGCGGCGGCGGCGGTGGGCACGGCCCGCCCGGCGGTGGCCACGGCGGCGGCGGCGGCGGTGCTCCGATCATCATTCCGATCCAGGGCGGTGGCGGCGGCGGCCACGGCGGTGGCGGCCACGGTCCTCCGGGCGGTGGCCACGGCGGTGGCGGCGGCGGAGCTCCCATCATTATCCCCATCCAGGGCGGTGGCGGCGGCCACGGCGCCGGAGGCCACGGAGCTGGACATGGTGCACCCCCGCCTGTGGTTGCTGCTTACGGTTAAATTGTCACGCTAGCTAAATTCATGCCCGTTAGAAAAATACTAATTTAATTGTGCGAGTGCGACCGATTAGATCTTCATTTACCTGTGTTTTTCAATGTCATTGTGCACTTCTTCCTTATAGTGCCTGAGTCATCACCCGATCCGTTGCGTGTACAATAGGATTATGCAGGTAGTGCCGTCTGTGTTGACTGTTCCCATGTCTGATGTCGCCGGTCCTGAACGGAAATCCTTCAGACGACTTAATGAATACATATTTATAACACTGCTCAATAGTTGTGTGGTGCTGTGGGGCTGTTCACCACATATCAGTGACTGGGTTTTACGTTAATCAGAAATGGAGAATATCAACCTGGTGCGTGTTCCAAAAATTCAATCAGTTCGATCCAAACGGCCCCAAGTAAAAGAATTAATTTAAGGAGCGGGTTGTTATATTTAAATTACCAAAACGAAGTCAAAAACCAAAACAGCGAATCAGACCATGGAGCGACGAAGAGACGAGAATGAAATCCAAGTTGGCCAAATATGCCCTGCCTAATCTAAGTTATAAATCCCGGACAGAACGGGCCAAATCGCGGAGCCAGACGTGACGCGTCTGCTCGGGTCAAGAGCTCGGCCTAGAAGTTCCTGGGAGCGCGCGGCCCGACGCAGCGGGCCGGGCCCAGACATGCGCAGAAGCACTCGGACACCACGTGGCTGCCGATCGGAGCGCGGATTGGTCACTGGCCGACGCACTGCGGCAGCGCAGGCCGCAGACACGCGGTCGCATCGTGATGGGACAAAGTTCACGAACAGACACGTCCTGGGCCGCCCCCCAGCGCCGGGGCGGGGTAGCGACGTCACAAGTCGGCGCGCGAATCGGTCTGCGCCGGGAACTCCCGCGCCGGCCGGCGACACACGTGGTTACCACAGTACTCACCGCCTCAGCGCGGAGCGCATACACGATAAGCCAAAACAATCACTTTTCACATCACTCGGTGCGCGACGTGATCGACACTTCACTGCGCGACGCAATAATCACTACACGGTACGGCGCAACGCAATTGTCACTGCACGGTCCTGCGCGACGCAAGAATCACTACACCGCGCGACGCAGTTATCACTTCACTGTCGGCGCCACGCGATCAGGATCGTCCTCGAACGCACGTACGCGGGCGCACTCAAAAGTATCGGAAGTCCGGTTGCGGCCGGAACTGCACGCGGCGGCCGCTGCGGGTGTGCACCGGCGCAGCCGCGGACGGCTTGTCGTCCTTGGCCGGCGATGCGGAAGACGTCACTCCAGGTTTTGAAGTCCTCTTGCTGGACGGTCTTGTAGTCGTCGGCGTCTGTGTCGGCTCGTCGGGCGCCCCAGTGGCGAGGGGCCCGAGCGAGGTCGACGGTGACGGCTGCTGCTCCGGAGCCGTAGGCTCGGTACTGCTCGGACCAAGCGTGTCCTCAGGTGGCGGCATGTGTGCCGGTTTGAGTCTGTCGACGCTTACAGTGTCGTGGGCGCCAGTCGGCAGCTCCAACGTGAACACTTTAGGGCTGCGTCTGATGACTCGCATGGGACCGCGGTACGGGGACTCCAGAGAGTGCCGCACGCGGTCAACGCGTACCCACACGTGTGTGCATGTCATGAGATCGGGTGGCACGTGCGTCGGTGGTGTGCGGGCGTGGTTCGAGCCCTGTGAGAGTGTGACGAAATCGATTTCTGACATACGCTTTGCCAGTTCTTGGACGTACTTTGTGCCGACGGGGACCTTCTCGACGGCGCAGCGGGGAAACAGCACCTGCGCGCCTGTGACGGCAGTGAATGCCGAAAAACCCGACTCTGCTGGCATAGCTCTTATACCTAGCAAAACTACTGGTAGCGCGCGCAGCCACTCCTGCCTGCGCGCCCGGATGGCAGCTTTGAGCGTTCGGTGGACTCTTTCCACCATCCCATTACATGTCGGATGATAAGCAGTGGTTCGGAGGCGATGGAAACCTATCATTGAAGACAAGTGTGAAAATAGTTCCGCTTCAAATTGGGAACCGCGGTCTGTGACAACATTCAGCGGAACTCCGAATCGGGACACCCAAGTGTCGAGGAAAGCAGAGGCTACACTTTCCGCGGTGATCGAGACCAACGGCACGGCCTCGACCCAACGCGTGGCGCGATCGATGCATGTCAACAAATAACGAAATGGCGCGGTGAAGGGGTGCCCGTGGGGTACTGACGGGGGCAGCGGCCCGACTATGTCTATATGTACAGTTTCGAACCGCTGCGAGGGCACATCAAATCGACCGGGCGGAGAACGAGTGTGCCTGTGCACCTCGGCTTCCTGGCATGCTTCACACTCCTTCACCCATCGCGCAATGTCACGGCGCATATCATGCCAGAAATAGCGAGAGCTGATGAGACGGGTGGTGCCTTTCCTACCCGGGTGTGACAGGCCGTGGAAACGATCAAACACGGCGCGCCTGCATGCCTCTGGTACGTACGGGCGTGGATGTGGTCCAGAGTTTTCACACAGGACTGTGATGTCACCAGACAGTGTTACTGGCTCCAATCGGGAGGTGTCCTGCGGCTTTGAGCGCGATCCTGGACCTGACTCGGAATCCTGGTGCTCTGAATCGGCACTGCCGGCGTCTCTCTCCTTTTCCTTCTTCTGAGCCGCCGCGATAAAATGGAGGTCACATGCATCGAGGGACACTGCATTTACCGGGCGACTGAGGCAGTCCGCCACCACGTTGTCACTGCCACGAATGTACGAGACCTCCGTGATGTATTCCGTGACGACACACCAGTGGCGCTGTTGGCGGTCAGACTTAGCCGTGTGCGGGCTGAGAAAAGCGCGCACGAGTGGCTTGTGATCTGTTCGCAGGATAACGTGGCGGCCTTCGATCATGTCACGAAAATGGAGTGTTGCCAGATAAGCCGCAAGTAGCTCTCTGTCATACGCGGCGTACTTCTGTTGGGCCTGACTGAGCTTCCGTGAAAAGAAGCCAATGGGAACGGGTACTTCGTCCACAATCTGATGGAGCGCGGCACCCACCGCGACTTGTGATGCGTCAGTAACGAGCTCGTACTGCTCGCAGTGTGGCACTGGGTGTGGCAGAGTGCAGGCGCCAGCCAGCGCTGCTTTACTGTCACTGAACGCCTGAGTCTGTTCCTCTGTCCACGTCAGTTCTTTGCTTTTTGGGTTGAGTCGAATCAGTTCGGTCAAGTGGAACGTGACATCGGCGAATCGCGGAATCATACGCCGGTAGAAGCCGATGAGTCCCAGATAGCGACGCAGTGACTCTGAGTCTTGCGGTAGAGGGAGGTCCAGAATCTCCTTCACTCTGGCCTTGGGAGGTGTGACACCTGTGCTGGTGACGTCATGACCGAGGAAAATGAGTGACTTCTTCATGAACTCGCATTTCTCCAGTGAGATGCGAAGCTTGTGCTCAGCCAGCTTGCTGAACACGAGGCGCAAATCTTTCTCATGCTGCTCCTGGTTCTCGGAAAATACCAGAATATCGTCGAGATAGACGAATACGCACGGCACGTCTCGGAAGATGCCGTCCATGACCCTCTGGAATGTGGCACCTGCGTTGCGAAGCCCCATTGGAATGAAGGCGTATTCGTACAAGCCGAAGGGCGTGGTGACGGCCGTCTTCTCTGAGTCAGCGGGGTTCATAGGCACCTGGTGATATGCACGGAGCAGATCAATTTTGCTGAACCACTGAGCGTTGTGGAGCTTGGTTGAGAGGCTCTGAATGTGCGGCAGTGGGTAGCGGTCCGGTTTGGTTACGGCGTTGAGTGCGCGGTAATCACCGGTGACACGCCACTCACCAGGGGTACTCTTCGGAACCATGTGGATGGGTGAGGCCCACGGGGACCTAGACGGACGAATCACTCCTGTTTTGAGCAGCACATCGAGTGCTTGCTTTGCTGCGGTTAGTTTGTCGGGCGGCAGCTTGCGTGGGCTGGCGAACGTGGGTGGAGCGCTGCCGGTGTCGATGAAGTGAGTGGTTTTGATTGGCGAGTCTGTGTAGTCCGGCTGGTTAGGGCTGAGAACAGCGGGGTGATCCTCGAGGATGGGCCGCACTGCCTCAGGCACCTGAGCGAGATTATTTATCACCAAATGAACAGACTCCCCAGTCGTCGGTACACCGGGAGCAGAGAGCAGAGTGGTGGAGTCGCGGAGAACTTGGGAACCACAATCGACAACCAACGAGTTGTGAGCGAGAAAATCGTTACCGAGTAGTGGCTCTGTCACTTCAGCCACTACAAATGTCCATGTGTAACTGCGTCTGAGTGTGGGGAGGACAATATCGAGAGTGGCCTCGCCATGCACGCGCAGTGGCTGCCCGCTGGCAGTCGTGATCGAAACAGCGGACGGGTGGATTATAGTTCCATTCACATAGGAGGGCGGAACCAGGGATACACCAGCGCCAGTATCCACGATGAATTTCAGGGGCTGATCATTCACCTTGGCTGTTACCCTAAGGAGCGGCAGGCCGAGGGCTGCGTTTACGGCCTGCTCCTCTCGTTTCCCGACTCTGAGGCTGCACGGGAGGGAGATGCAGCTCGTGAGGACGGCTGCATGGTCAGATCAGCAGCTTTGTCGGGCCAGTGACACCATGGCTTGCACGTGCGTGCTCTGCTGCCGAAAAACAGGTGAGCACGGCATACTTTCGGCTTCTGGTCTGGGTGGAACGGCGTGAGACCGAGAGACGCTCTTGAATCACGAGCATCACGAGCAGGGGAGTGTGTGGCGGCTCGGTTCTGCGGCTGAGTGGCCCTGTGGTACCTTGGGTGCTGCTGAGCCACAAAGAACGCCTGTGAGTCAGACTGTGGGTCCTGATCCTGACAGTGAACCATGTTAGCAGCTGAGTTTTGCACAAGAGGCATTAGTTCGTCCGCGAGTTTGCCCAACTGCGACAATGAGAGCTCGCGCTGAGAAGCCAGGGCCGTAGCAATGCCTGTGGGTAGCGACTGGATAAATTTGTGCCGAACGAGATCGTCTCCGACACCAACCTTGTCGGCCACCTCT